CCAAGCAGCTGCCGCCGAGTCCGTCTCTCCGCCGCGGAGAGCGTCCCCTGCTCCGGCCACTGAAGTCACCGGCTCTGAGCTTCCCGCTCCCGGTGTGTGGCACACCATGGGGCGCTGAGGCGGCGGCTCGGGCTCCGGCCAGGCGGCGCGGCCGGCAGGGGGAGGCGGTTCTCCCCAGCCCGAGGGTGGCCCGGCCACCGGCTCTCCGGGCTGCTGAGGCGGTGGCACCGCCGGAGTACCCGTAGGGCCGGCCAGGTAGAGGCCAGGGCATGGGTCACTCAGGTAGACCTGGCGGGCGCTGCGCAGCACCAACGACACCAAGAGGTTCTTGTGCAGCTTGATGCCGCCGCGCTGGACCCGCGAGTTGTAGATCTTGCCGAGGGAGATGCTGACGATGCGGTGAGCCTCCAGCTTGAACTCCATCCTGCCTCCGCTTCTCGAGAGTGGCGCTTAGACGATGAGGTGAACGCCGGTTCACGTTCCGAAACGGCGAGAGGAGCTGGAGGCAGAAACCCTGAATAGGTTCGCCTCTGGGGTGCACCCTCGCCGGCTGAAAGCTCGGTGGAGAAAAGACCCGGTAACGCGTAATCTCCTCCGCCTCTTCACCTAAGACTACTGACCTGATCACGGCTGCTCGCTAAACTGAGCGGAGCAAACCCACACCGCGCCTTATATAGACTTCTCGAACGCCAATCACAAAGCGCTGCCAACCGTTCTGGGCGGGCCGATGCGGCTCGTGCGCCGCCCCCCAGCCAATCGGAGACGGAGGAGGGGCGTCAGGGCCGGTTCAAACGTTAGTCCCGCGGAGCAAGCTCTTAAAGGGGGCGATCGCGAAGGGTCCATTGAACAAGTGCCATGGGATTTGGGTTCCAAGGCAACGGTGTAGGCAAGTGAGGTCCACAGAACTGTCTGTCGTTAGGGTATCCGAATTGTGAGCTGGAATTCACTAGAACCGAACCAAACTGTCATGCGTTTAGAGTGCTGAAAATAATAAAGTTCGGCTTTTTTCATGAGCAGTCTCCAACAGCTCACACCGTTTCTTGACCGGAATGGTAGCTCTGGCAATCCAAGACAGGGACAACCCTGAACAACAAACAGTACGAAGTTTTGATATACTATTTTGGAGTCAGTTCCTTTCCCATTAGCGTCACACTCTTAGCATTTGACCACAAACAGAAGGGGAAGCTTCTGGCTTATCAAGGAACAGTATTCAGGTACAAAGTCACTGGTTCTCACCTAAAGCTGTCATCTTCCACTCCCTTCCCCAAATCCTCAGTTGTCATATTATTAAGTGGAATAAATGGAAGGTACTACCTACTTCTCCGCAGTGTTTGCTTGTTTGGTTGGTTTAGGGCTTGGTTGTTCTTGTTTTTCTTTTTTTAGCACAGTTACTGACTAATCCACCCTTGGGAAAATCTAGTAAGTTCTGAAACTACAAACAGAGAAGTCCTGGGTTCGCATAATGATGTTGTAAATTTGTTTTATGGCAAGCTAATAACATGGGAAGGGTCCCGGTCAACCGCGTACTCCATCCCCTGAGTCTTAGTACCCTGACAAAAGGGCCACAGGATTGTATTGGTGCCTGATGACTTTGTAAATCATCTCATGGTCTTTAAGCTTCTATTCCAAAAAGGAGAAATCACATATACACCTATTTTATTATACAGAAGATAATGACAACTCTTAGTCACAGTAAACTTCAGCACAGCTTTCATGAAGTCTGCATGAAAACTTGGCCTGATCCTACAATAGGGTTTTGCCAACCAATATGTTTATGTAAATACGAGTGAGAGGAAGGCCTGACCATAGGCAGTTCACAATCGGGTGCCCTCACCTGTGATGACCTGGTCACCTTCCTCTTGACCACTCACTAGTACTGTTACAAGTGAAGCCCTCCTTCCTAGGAATTTCCAGCTCACATAGAGGAGAGAAAATAATTATGACATCGAGCTACAGCAACATATGTTCATTAATCATACAAGGTTCTTCTCCATTTTCTTCCTTGGAAAATCTTTTCTGTCTTTCTTTTTTGCTTTTTTGCCAATATTTATTGAATATTGGAATCCGAGTCAGCATCTACCTTTGGCCACTCACCCTTAGCAGCAAAGACTTTGCACGCTTCAGGTTTCCTAAGGAGAGCAGCTCAGTGAGATTCTGATAGAACCTGCTACATTACAAATGACCTATTCAGGAGGGCATGGAGAGTGTATCAAAGCAGTGCATCTTATGGATACCTTTATTGATGCCACATAATAGGTGGTACTTAGATAAGTGTTCTATAGTGGCAGATTATTTGTATTTTAATAAATAAATCTTGCCTGAAGATCAGAAAAGCAAAGTAGCCAAGCCACTAGAGAAGCCTTACCTCTACCTAGGCTGGGTGATGGCAGACTAAGCAGACTAAACCTCTCTCCTCTCATTTCATATTCTCTCTAGTTCTGGGATTAAAGGTATATGACTCCCTAGTACTGGGATTAATCACCACCACCGGGATTTGTTTCTGCATTGATCTTGTATAGCCCAGGGTGGTCTTGAACTCACAGAGATCTATTTGCCTCTGTCTCCCAAATCCTGGGATTAAAGGTATGTGTCATCATTACCTGACCTCTAGTGGCTTTAGCTTTGCCTCTGGTCTTCAAGCAAGACTTATTTGTTAAAATGTAAATAATATACCACTATTGTGTACAGTCATAGTCCGTGCTCCTGTCTAATACAGCTTGCTTAACCGTACATGCCAACAGATAGATGCTCCTTCCTGAGTAGACTCAATGAGTTGGTTCATGACCATGGGGAGGTACAGGACCTGGGTCTTTCAAAGCTTTGTTTCTTTTACCAGCATTTCTTTTTAAGATTTATATATTTATTTATTTTTGATGTTTTTGAGATTGAATTTCTCTGTGTAGCTCTGACTGTTCTGGAACTAGCCTCGAGCTTGGAGATTCGCCTACCTCTGCCTCCCCAGTGCCTGAACTAAAGGTGTGTGCTGCCGTGCCCACCGAGCATTATTTTGATTTTATTAAAAAAGTCAAAGAATGGACTGGCGGTGGTGGCACATGCTTTTAATCCCAGCACTTGGGAGGCAGAGGCAGGTGGATCTCCATGAGTTTGAAGCCAGCCTGATCTACAAGAGCTAGTTCCAGGATAGTTAGGACTGTTTCACGGAGAAACGTGGTCTCAAGAAACCAAACCAAGCAAAATAAAACAAAACAAACAAAAAACCAAAATAAAAAACAAAAAACCCTCAGACTAGCACTGGGCTTATATATGTACACTATCGAAACACCTTAGTTATTAGAACATGCTACCCCCTAACTTGAATTTGGAGTAACAGAAGTGACTATAGAAGGAAGGGACATAGATGAATGTTTGAGTAAGGAAAGCATATTTGAAGAGGTGCTCAAAGCTGTAAGGTAGCATCCAGACTCTGCGCAGCAACGCAAGGATGGGGTACAGCAAGCATCTCCTTTGTCAGGTTGCCAAGGTGAGGATAGTAAATCCTGGATGCCTCAACAGGGAGGCCTCAGGGACTGACTAAAGATTTCGGCATAACAAGAGAACCCCAGGATGGATTCTAGAACAATCGGTATAACAGGTGACTAAGCATAAAACCTCTGTGAATGTTTAGGCAAAGAATTATTGAGAAGGCATGAACTAGATTGAATGAATTAGAAAGGGTGGGGGTGGGGGGAAGTAAAGAGACAGGGCTGTGGTAATGGCTCAGAGAGTCAGAGGCTTGATGTATATGCACAGCACCCAGAGTTTGGATCCCCAGCATCCCATAGAAGGTCAAGCCTAATGGTGCATGCCTGTATCCCTGGGCTGGGTAGCAGAAACAGATGGCTCCAGGAACTCACTGGCTAGCCAGTCTGTCCAAAATGTCAAGCTCCAAATTTAATGAGAGACCCTATCTCAAAAAGTAAGATGAAACTCCAGTATGAAGAGGGGGAAGCTCATGAGGCTCTACCCCAAGCTGAAGAACTTTTGTCAAGTGCTGGCTGCTAAAGGAGGGAACTATCACCCCTGGTAGGTTGCCCATGCTCCTGTGGGTGGTCCTACCCTCATGTAATATGCTCAGTGCTCAGTGAATTGAAGAGGAGGAGGAAGATATGATGATAAAGCTGGGAAGAGGAGTTGGAAGGGGGTAATGGATGTTAAATGCGATCTAAATACTTTGAATCTGTGTACGACACTGTCAAAGAAAAGAATAAGAAATAAATTAGGTAGAGTGTGATTGAGGAAGATGAGTGACTCTGGCCTCCATATAAACATGCACAGCTGAGCACACCTGCACACACACACACACACACACACACACACACACACACACACACACGAGACAAAAAGAACTCTGGTGATGCAGTGGTGATCTGGGATGCTCCCCAATATACACAGGCTGCTAAGGGGCCTGAGAAGGCTTTCTGACCCATCTGAGCTTAACTATCCCAGTATTAACCACAGTATACTTTATACTCCTGCCTTTGTTGCTACCCTTATCACTCTCTTTCTTTATGCCTAGCACCCCTCCCAGCTTGTGCTCATCCAAGCAAGACAGGGATAGTGAAAATATAGACTGACTGATGGGGCACAGACACTAACCATCAGAACAGGCTAAGCCCTTTCAATGTCAGGTTACAGAAGGCACCTGTGGGACAGATAGGATGGCAGGAAGGTGAAAGAGCTGGGAAAGATGTCCCATCAACTGTCAGGACATTCCAACACTGTAACAATTAGGGTGGCCATGGTGGTACATCCAGAGGGTCACACATGTAGAATCTCTAGTAATGAGGTTCACGGAGCATCATGATGGTCAGCTTACAGGCATTGTAGATGAGTAAACAGAGACTCCAAGAAGTGAAGTCAATTTCCCAAAGTTGTCGAGTTGTAAGTTGGGATGGTAGGGATTCATCTTGAGTGTGTGATGTTCTGGCCTGTACTGCCTGGATCTTATTTTCTGTGTGACCTTCAAAAAGTTATTTCATCTCTAGTGAAATGGGAAAGCTCATCCTAGTTTTGTGCCTCAGTCTGCTGTGTAAAACAGCACCAATAAAGATAACTTGGGTTGTTTAGTATAGGTCGTGGTACATATAAGCACTTACGAAGTCTTACCTGTTGCTATGGTTATTCTTTTTATTTCACCAGAACCTAGCCTTAGTCAATGTCAGCTGACTTGCATTTGTGCTTTCGTAATTATTGTCAGGATTTCCTGCAATCCTGAGCCAAGGAATGGACTCTTGAGAATCCATCTCCAAGGGATCAAGCACTTGTGATCAGGAGGCTTCTACCGCCACAAAGTGGGGACACAGTGACTGTGAGATGTGGCTAGTACAACCGAAGATATTAAACATTTAGTTTTATTGACTTTAATCAACTTAAAAATCAAAACAGGAAATGTTCCCCCCTCAGAATCCATTTACTGTGTCATATTTTTGAAGCTTAAAGCGATATGTGTGACAGATATAAATTCCACAGCAGGCTTCAGGAAGTTAGTATCGAAAAGAAAATGTAAAATGCCCCATTTACATTGTGATGGCAGAGCATAGTAGTGCACACCTGTAATCTCAGAGCAAATGCTGGGGTAAGCTGAGGAAGGAGGGTCAGCGAACGTTTAAGGCTACCCAAGACTGTGTAGAAAGATCTGGTCTCAGACAAACAAAATCCTCCC